GCCCTGGAACCCGTTCCCTCACCTGGCTGGCCTGTGGTCACCTCCAGGCCGGGTTTGCTGCTGCCTGGTAGCCCTCGGCCTTCCTGACTGCCCCCTGCCGCCAGCAGCCGCGTGTCTGGGGCCCTGCACTGCGGGCCGTTCTTCAGCCCACATGGGGAGTCTTGTCTGACTTCACTATTATCTCAATAAATTTTGTGTGGAAACTGAAGAGGCTGCACCTTAAGGAGGAGTCTCTCTAGTAGTTAAGAAATTTGAGTTCAAAACACAGCTGCCAGTTGTTTAAAAAACAAAGGACTTTGGAAGCTTGAAGCCAGTGCAGGTAACCTTGTGGGCCAGCTGCTTCGGGTGACGTGCTTCGTCGTGGCCCTGTCTACCCTTCTGGGCCACCTGGAGGCGCGTCTTCCTTCATGGCCACCGCGTGGCCCCCGGGCACTGTTAGGTGAAACAGCAGAAACGTACCAAATCCCTCAGGTGCGAAATCTCCCAACCCCTGGCAGAGCCGCCGTCAGGGGCAGGCTGGGCTCTGTGGGAGAATGCCCCACCTGGTCGGCAGGCCGGGCGCTCAGGTGAGGTTACAGTGGCGTCTAGAGGAAACGTGCGAAGGCGTGGCAGACGGTAGTGCTCGGCTCTGCTCCCGTGGGGGGAGGCGTTCACTCGCAGGTGAGGCGCGTCACTCCTGCCGAGAAGCCGCTCTTGCGGCCAGGCTATGAAATGAGGTAGCCGCGGTCAGTCTTCAAGTCCTTCACCCGCAGGGGCATGTCTCCGCCTGCCAGCATCAGCCACTACCCTCCGGCCTCCTCAGCTTCCCAGGGGCGACCTTATAGTGGACTTTTGATGTTTTTCTTTTCTTCAGATTTAGGTATTGGCGATCTGATTCCTGTGGATGTCAATCATCTAGACATTTGTAAGCCAAAGAGGAAGGATGCTTTTTTGTACCAACGCACCTTACAATTCATCCGTGAAACTTTAGCGAAAGACCTCGAAAACTGACCGTTGTCTTCTGGTTTTCAATCGTGACCCCAGTGCAGGCCGCCGGGCGAGTGCTCTCCAGGGTCTCCGCAGCCGCGCAGCCTTCGTCAGGACGCCCGCGTATCTGGGCACGTGCCGGCGACAGCACTCGTCCTGTAAAGCACAGACGCAGCTTGGCGAGGGGGAGGCCTCACGGGCTCTGGCTCGGGGACTCCCGTGTGTGCCCGTTTGTGGCGCGGTGTCGCCCCCCGCCACAGGAGCAGCAGGTGGAGGGGCCCTGTGTCACCTTGGCCTCACGGAGGGGAGGGCGGCAGCGGCACTCGGGGCTCCTGCAGGGCGCGCCTCAGCCACCGGACAGGCCCTGGGGAGGAGGAGCATGAGCCGGCACTGAAAAGACTTCTGCGCTTCCCTGCTTTGAGGAACATGTCCGCGTCGCCTTTGTCCAGCGTGTTAGTACTGCCAGGCCTGCTGTCCGCGGGGTCCTCCGTGTGAGCTTTCATTTCAGACTGCTGGGGAACAAATGTTTCCCGTGAAAAAGCCTCGCCCCTGTTCCGCCCAGCCCGCAGGACCCGTGCTCGGCGTTTCCCAGGGGAGGACACAGCCGCTGATCCACTGTCTGCAGTAGCTGCACTTGGCATCAGGACTCTCGGACTCTCGCTAAATAAAGTTGGTCAGGGCCTTGAATGATGTGTATTAGTTCCATGTCTTTTTGTTATAGGTTGATGAGAAAACAGTCTCTGGGAAGTGACTTTATTCAACGACTTGCTTTCATTTTATGCCATTTCACGTGAAATCTGAGTTTACCAGACTATTGAGGAGTCAGTGAGGACTTGCTGGATACCTTTCTTGCTCATCTGAAGAAAGGGTATTTCCTCCAGCACGTAGGAAATTGGAACAGCCATTCAGGCCTTTTACAAAAATAAATACAGTGCTACTGATCATGTAATCTCACACCGTAAACCCCCCTTTCCCGGATAGGTCATTGATTCCAGCATATTCGCAGAGCTGGCTACGTCGGCACTCGCCGAGTCAGAACTTTCATCCCCCGACAGGCCCAGACCATCGGCGGACGCTGACCCAGCTCTGCCTCCGCGGGGTGGCCCTCAGCGGCTTCCCGGACGGCGCCCTGCGGCCTTTGTGTCCAGCTGCTGCGGGGGGCTCCAGGCCCCTCCGCGACGTCGTGTCCACCGTGCGTTTCTCTTCTCCATGGCCATGTGTTCCATGTGTGGACACGCGTTTTAATGTTCTCGTCAGCTGGCGGTCGTCCGGGTTCTTCCACTTTTGGCTGCTCTGAGCGCTGCTCTGACATTTATGCACAGCGTTTGTGTGGGCATGCGGCTTCCATTCTTTGGGGCATACTGTAGGTGTGGAAATGCTGGGCCACGTTAAGCTTGTGCTTATTTTGAAGGTGATGGACATCTGTAGAAGGGAGACTCGAAGCTAAAACTGGGGTACCGCATCTCAAGGTCAGTGGGGTCTTCAGTGAAGTCCTGTCATAGCTAACTGGAGACGTCACCACGGGTCTGGTCACACAGCTGTAGTAGTGTGATGGTAGCTAACAGCAAGGGGGGCTCGCTGTGTGCTGACGTGGGGACGTCATGGAAACACGTTTGGTTCTGTTGTCCATGGACCATGATGGATAAATCACGGTTGACGTAACTGTTCACTAACAGAGCGATGGCTGAAGTACCACTCCTTAACAGCGAATGTAGCCACAAGAGCTTTTCTTTTACACCTAAGGCTCGAGGGAGAGAGACTGTACCACGAAGTTATTCAGTGTTCCTGGCAAGTCATTTAAAAATCCTTTCTGCTCTGAAATGGATGGAAGGTACAGGGGTTACTTTAGCAGTTTGAGATTGAAGTCAATGTTTTAAAACAATTCTCACTTGAAAAAAACAGTTTATGGACACAAAGTATAAAAACCAGTGTTTGAAATAGTTTTAAACTTGGACCATCAGTAAAACTCCAGTCAGCCTTATTTATATATCCTCCCTGGGAAACAATTTCCAGTGAAACATACTGCTTTTCCTCTATGTGCAAATCTCTTTTAAGGATCTTGTGCAAGAAGGACGCAAGCACCAGAGGCGTGTCAGAGCCAGTCGCCCAGACCAGCGTAAGGGAAACTCGTGGACGTGAAGACACTTAAGCTACTTACTACTCTGAGGCACTGTCCAACCCTTGTAGACCCCACAGCTAGCCCTCAAACGTAGGGGCACTCGGTCCCACTTTACCCCAGCCTTTGATTGTCACCACAGAGGGACAGGCCACGAGCCCTTCTCCACTCTCGGCCATGCACCCCACTTCCGGCGAAGGCTGAGGCGGCCCGGCCCCGACTCCGGCGAGAACAGCGAGCAGCGAAGTGTTGTGTGTCTCTCTTTTGACCTTGGCCCATGATTTACAATCTCCCTAAAGTTTTGATTCCTGGGGTTTGAGTTTCAGACACACCTGTTTGAATTTACCTCTTTGTAATATTAAGTAGATGAGTGAATGACTTGGTTTTTATTGACCTTTGGTATAAAATATCATGTCTGTGTGGGAAAATGTTCAATAAATGTCGTTTTGAAGTACTCAATATCACTGATGTTCCCTTATACTGAGATGATGAACACTCCCAATTACTAATCACTTAAAAGCTATTGGAAATTTGCTTTATGAACAGTGGCATTTTATTGTAAATTACGGTAAACAAGAAGAAGACATAAAATGGCAGTGTAACATCCAACAAATAAATCCCCCAGATTCAGAATAAGCCATTCTTCTAAAAGCTCTAGCTCTTAGTCTATTTTCAGCTTTGCCACAGAGTGTAGGAAGAATGTCACAGACACTCACTCCCAGCTCCTGGTCCCTAGAAGGGAGACACCGAGCTAAACTGCATTAGTTTAGTGCAGACTTTACCTCAGGGTTCTTCAGTCAAATCTGGGGCAAAGCCAGACATGCAAATTCTGAGAACCACGAGAGCGAGGGCCTAGGTGTGAACACTGTCTCCAGGCGTAAACAGTACTCATCCCGGAAGTGTCTGTAACTTAGATTTCAAAATAGTTTTAAGTGTTCTGGCCCAAGATGGTGGCATGGTGGTCTTCTGAACTTACCTGCTTCCAGGCCTCAAGTCTATAGCTACACATGGAGCAACCCCCTGAAAGAAATCCAGAAACTGGCCGAGTGGCTGTACACATTGGGTGAACGAGCAGATGCCTGCATTGGAACCTGGAGGGAGGGTTCGGCAGTTTCTCCCCACAAACTCCACCTTGCACAGTGAGACACCACAGGAAGGGAACTTACAACTCCCAGTTTCTCTGAGGAGTGAAGGGTTTGGGCCCAACAGCTGATGCCCCATTTTTCAGACTCCATCTGGACAGGACACCTAGTTTTAGAAGTTACAGGGATTTGCAGTTCTTGTATACATAAATAAATAAATCTTTAAAAAAAAAAACTAAAAAAAAAGTAAATTCATAAAAAAGAAAAGTCTCAGCAAAACTGGAAATCGATTCTATGGAAGGGCAATAAAGTTGCTGCTCCCGTGAGACCAGTCGGGAAGAGAAGGCGCAAATCACCAGAGTCAGGAGAGAAAAGGTGGCGTCACTGCCTTGTAGGCGTGAGGCGTCCTGAACACTCTTAGGCCAACGTGAGAGTGAAACACGGTGAATGCTAGAGCTTCCCGCTGTTCACGCAGGGAGGTCTGCAACACAGACGCTGGCCCTGACTATTAAAGAAACAGAACCAGTTGTTACAAGTCTTCTCACAAGGAAACAGGCCCAGGTGACTTTCCCAGGACACTGCCAAGATTTTATGGAGGAGCTAATACCTGTATTGTTGAACTCTTACAGTTAATAGAAAAGAATACCCCCCCCCCCAACTCATGAGGTTAGTGTAACTTTGATACCCAAGGCACACAAGGACTTTTCCAGTTCAGTCTCACCTAAAACAGTTGCAAAAATCCTAAATAAAAGTACTGAAAAATTAAATCCAGTGATATTTTAAATACAACATAATCTGTCCAAATCGGATCTGTACCAAGAATGCAAGGTTGTACTCACCCGTGCAGAAAGTCCATCGATGGAATTTGTAAAAATGTGTAATAATTTCGACACATGGGAAGATATCTGATAAAAGTCAACAGCTATTCATGAAAACGTTTAGCATGTCAGAAAATTGCCATAGTCTTAAGAGCGTGTAGCTACAGAACAAAAAATAGAAATTAAATTTAATGGCAAAAAATTAATACTTCTAGAAGGACTATTTCTGTTATTTTTCGAGGAGAAAAAAAATAGAAAAATGCCAACTAGCAACATTTCAACACAGTGCTAATAGTCTGGCCAGCTCGAGACAGCAAGAGGACCAGAAACGGGCACACGGGTGGAATATAAGGAATAAAACTCACTTTGCAGATACTCAAACTTGTAAGTGGTTTTTTTAAAGATGTATTTATTTATGCGTGCAAGACCTGGGCTGTTGGCCAGAGCTGCAGGGGGAGGGGATGCTGAGAGTGGGGAGCAGAACAGGAGGATCCACTGAGATACACTCCTGAGGGGAGCAGCGGGGGACAGGAGAGGTCTGCTGGGCCTGGCTGGGATCGAACTCCGGCTGCAGGAGCTGGCGACAGTTGGACAGCCCGAGACTTTAACCCCTGCGTCACTGGGGAGGCCTCAGGCAGCACATTCAAAGTGCTTTAAGTCTGTGTGCTGGGTTGCATCTCACAGTAGTGGCTAAGCCATTATTTTCTCACACGATTTCTGCCGTGGTCTGTTCCAGGCAGTGTGGGCAACGTGCCACAGGCCGCGAGGCCCAGAAGCATCAGACGTTCATTTCTCAGAGCTCTAGAAGCTAGAAAGGCCAAGATCAAGACTCGAGCACCACTGCGCCCTGGTGAAGGCGCCCCCCGGGCCGCAGGTGCTCTGTGGGTTCCCTGCATAAGGTCACGAAGCTCCTTCACGAGGCCGAACCAGTCTGCCAGTCTGCCTTGAGGAAAGACACCCCCAGTGGGAACAGAGGGGTCTTGTCAGAGCTGCTTTGAAATCCTGGCTTTGAGGAAATCACACAGCCGCACTGTGCTCAAAGAGGAAATAAAGCAAACCGTAACCCAGAAATTAAAAGGGTATTCTGTGCCAACATGTCTAGGGTGCTGTTAGTTATCATCAGGGGAAAACATAACATTTTAAATACGTTTATTGTGATGACTAAACATCATGAAAACCGGTGCAACTTTTAATGACACAAATGAAAGGAACTGGAAAACGTAAATAAGGAGGCAAATTAAAGATAAGTCGTAGTTAATGAAAAATGTCAAAAAAACAGAAAATGCTATCAATTCCAGTGCTCTGTGAAAGGATCATAAAATTGAGGGCCCCTGAGGGCTGACTTTGAAGCCAAGAACCCGGAAGGCGCGAGCGCGCTGCTTGTCTGCCTCTCGCTGTCTCCAACACTCCAGCTGTTCTGAAGGACACAGATTGACTCGGTATTTCTCTGACCCACGATTGCCGCTGTCTCCAGAGTAAAATCCTTCATTGTCCTTTAAAGCCCTCTAAAATTCTTTTTTAAGATTTTCTTACCTCGTTGCTCATGTTTGTGGAGCCACTGGCCTCTCCCCGTGGGTGTACAGCCCGTAGCCCCCAGTGCCCTGTGCTCCTCCCACCCCCATTCGGACCCAGCCCCCCGGGGAGCGCCTCACCTCTACAGTCAGCTTGCAAGTTTTGTCTTTTCTTGACCTTTCGCTTGGCTTCTGATCCCTGGCGAAGTGAGCCCCGGTGTGGATCTCCCTCTGCACCTCGCTGTCCCCCTCTGGCGGCGAC